GTTTTTTGAGGTTTCGCGCGCGCACGCAATTTTAAGGCTTGACATGTTTAGTGTCTTTTTACCCGACGTGACCCCGTCTTTTATATTTTACCAAAAAATTGGGTAATAATAAATGTTTTATCATTTAATATAGGGGAAACTGTTTTTTTTTTTTAAATTTCGGTAATTTTTCCTTAATATAGTAAAAAAATAAAACCCCCAGTGGTGAATAAATACCACCAAAAGAAAGCTCTATCTGTCCCCAAAAAAGGGTATAAAATTCATTTCAGTACAGCGCTGCATGACGGAATAAATGTCAGTCAAAGTACCGCAACGCTGAATACTGAAAAATGGCCTGGATGGGAAGGGGGTTTAACAGCGCGGATGTCAACTGGTTAAATAAGCATGGCTCCACACACAATCCTAAAATGAGCAATAAACCACTTACTTCTTGGCTCTGTGATGGATGTCGGACAAGCATTTGACTTGCCCTTCTGTTTTAATGTGTTTCTCTTTTTTGTTTTTACAATGATAGATAAAAACCTTAATAATCAGTTTGTCCACTTAGTGTAAATGGAATGAAGTAGTGACCTCAGCCTCTCTTTAAAAGACCAAATAAAAAGAGCAGACTAAAAAAATACTTTAGGGCTACAACCTAAATACAGTTTCGTAATGGGTTGTGTCATGTGCTAGTTCACATGACTAGATGAACAGTATTCTTGGCAATTGTTTTTTTTAATTAATTTCACATTTATCTGTTTTAGTTGTAATTTCCGTATCATTAACATTCAGGGTTCAGTTTAGTGTGCATGCAGCAATGTCCCATGAATTGCTTTAATATACTTAATTTCAAAAACACAGTCTAGTCTCTGCTATGCTGAATATACTGGGACACAAAAGAAAACGTGAAAATTGATGAAGGCAGATGTTTCGGCTTCAAGCTGAGCTATGTTTATTTGACTGATTAACAGTTTTATGTCATCCATTCAAAATAACTGTCAGATGATAGAAAGAAGGTTGACACAAAAAAAGGTAGCCAATTCTTTACATGGGGATCCTAAAGTGCTAAACTGTGAAGCAGCAGCAAACAGTTAAATTAAGCTTCAATCCAAAGTGATGTGTATGGAAGCAAATTAGACTAATTATCAGACTGGGAAGAGAAAATTTAAAATCACAGCTGGACTTCTAGTTTAAAATGGCTAAACACATTCAAGGTGTGCAAAGTCGTGCAAGTTTGTTTTCTGTGCATAGCAGCCACAACCTGGGTAGAAAAGCCTGTCTCCTGCCAGCATGCTTGCCAGCATGCTGTAGAAAAGGACACATGCTCTGTGTGTGAAAGCAGTGGTCTCTATGCAGAGGTCCAATACACCCCTTGCTGAGCCAGGTCTAAAGTTCTTTAATCTGCAGGACGCATGAGCTTTGCTGATTGCAGAGGTATAGGTCTAACGCAGCAGTGGGGGAAGGGGTGTGTTTTGGACCTCAGCAAGGAGACCACTGCTTCCACACAGAGGGCAAGGGTTTTTCTCTGGAGCATGCTGGCAGGGGACAGGCTTTTCTACCCAGGCTGTGGCTGATTTGTTACAGAAAAACTGCAAGGCCTAGCACACCTTTTGTTTTGATACAACTGAAATGTATTTGGCCGATTTAAACTAAGTTTATTTTGGCTTAAAGTTAAAGAAAAAAAATGCATTAACCCTAGAAGTGGAGCTACCACTGCACTGCAAGTTAAGTGTTCGTATGTGCCATACCGGGCACTCCGCCACTGGACTCTAGAGAAGTGGAGACGTGTTCTCTGGACTGACGAATCACGCTTCTCTGTCTGGCAATCTGATGGGACGTGTCTGGGTTTGGCGATTGTCAGGAGAACGATACTTGCCTGACTGCATTGTGCCAAGTGTAAGGTTTGGTGGAGGGGGATTATGGTGTGGGGTTGTTTTTCAGGGTTTGGGCTTGGCCCCTTAGTTCCAGTGAAGGGAACTCTAAAGGCATCAGCATACCAAGACATTTTGGAGAATTTCATGCTCCCAACTTTGTGGGAGCAGTTTGGTTCCTTGCACAAATCAAGGTCCATAAAGACATGGATGAGCGAGTTTGAGGTGGAGGAACTTGAGTGGCCTGCACAGAGTCCTGACCTCAACCCGATAGAACACCTTTTGGATGAGTTAGAGCCGAGACTGTGAGCCAGGCCTTCTCGTCCAACATCAGTACCTGACCTCACAAATGCACTTCTGGAAGAATAGTCAAACATTCCCTTAGACACACTCCTAAACCTTGTGGACGCCATCCCAGAAAAGTTGAAGCTGTTATAGCGGCAAAGGGTGGACCAACTCAATATTGAACCCTACGGACTAAGACTGGGATGCCATTAAAGCTCATGTGGGTGTAAAGGCAGGCGTCAGCACTGATCATTTTCACCACTACCGTATGAGGATGTGTGTATGGGCAGGTGTATGGTCAGCGTGTGACCGCTTCTACTGTAAGGTCGTACGACTTTTGTCTTCCAAGCACGCTGGAAAGCCTGCAGAAAATCGTACGATTTTTTGCGGGTTGGTGGCGTGGTTGGAAAACGAATACCGCACGGGCCGGTGTGCCCACTCAGCACTGCAATCATCGGAAGCCCTCCCCCCCGCGGGGAGGGCTTCCGATGATTGCAAGTACGATCTGCCTGTCCAAGATGGGCACATCGTACGAGATTTTAATGACCTTACAACCATCGCATAACGAAAGTCGTGCAATGGTTGTAAGGTGTATGGCCAGCTTAAAGCACAATAATACACTGCTCAACAACGTTACACACACCCCCC